GTAGCGTGAAGGTCCTTCATGAGGAGCATCTGCTCTTCCGACCGACGGGCCTGTTCTTCCTGTCCGCCCCGCAGCTGCTCTTCCAATCGGCGTGCCTGTTCCGCCTGCTGGCGAGCCTGTTTCTCCTGTCGGCGAGCCTGTTCCTCCTGCCGGCGAGCCTGCTCCTCCTGTCGGCGAGCCTGCTCCTGCAGCATCACCATCAGAGCACCTAAGTCAGGTGCTGCAGATGTAGGAGCTACCGACGGGCCTGCAGCCGGTGGCTGGTCCTCCGACGTCTGCAGCGTTGCACCACCAAATCTTCGTTGGTTCGTCTCCTGCTGGCGTTGACTTCGGGTACGGACACCCTCCGTTTCCTCCTTAGGTAAAATCGGCATGATTTTACCCCACTTCTGACACCAATTGTTACGAGCTTGAGGTTCGTGACAATAAAAATTGCCGATAAAATTACCTAAATTAACACTTTAATTTACTTTACACAAATTAAAGTTAAAACACTAATAATTAAACACACTAATTCACTTAATTCCGCCCGAAACTTCGCTTGTTTCGCCCAAATCAACACTGCCTCGATCGCACCTTGCAGCGCCTACTTATTTAAATTAGCAAATATCCAGAATGTTCAAGCAAACACGCGTAAGGTACCGAGAGTCCGAGTATAGATATTTTAGAAACTTAGTTTCTTCGGATGGCGCTGTCGGTTGTGATGTCATTCACTGCAAAGCTCCCCTCGCTCTCGTTCCTGACACTAGATGGCGCTAGTGTATCGTCGACTTTAGCGCGTAACAATATGTAAGATTCTTTTATTAATTCTAGATATTTATGGCATTCGTGTTTTAGAATATTAAGTAATGGAAATTACTCCGTTCTAAACCCATTTTACTCTTTACGAGGGTAATAATAGGCCACTTGTGGACGATATAATAAAAGAAAGAGTTTAAATTTTGAAAATGGAATTCTTTGCCAATATTATTGTATATGACTGTATTTTATTAATTTGTAAATTGTTTACGACTGGGCCGCAAATTGAAAATTGTCTGTGTCACGTCTCATAATTTTCGTAGAATGATTTTTTATGATTTTCAATGTCATTTAAGTCAACAAGAAAGTTATGTTAGACTTCGATTGTTCTTTCACAATGAAACCAGCTTTTGCTTTTGCTTTTTGCTTCTGGCTTCGATTGGTCTTTCACAATGAAAAGCAAGAACAAACTGGAAAGTAATTAGTTTTATTATATTTTTTCAAAATAGTGTCCATTTACTAGATTTACCATTTACCAGAGCCGTGGTTGCTCAAATGGTTAACGCTCGGTGTAAATATAACAGAACGCGAGTAACCCGGGTTTGATCCCCTCCGGCACCAATTAAATTGTTAATTGCAATTTTAAGTGCTGATTTACTGTGTGCTCGACGGTGAAGGAAAACATCGTGAGGAAACCGGAATGTTTGAGGAATAAGAGAAAAATTATTTTGAAGACATGTGAAGTTCACCAACACGCATTGAGACAGCGTGGCGGACAATTCCTTGCCCTAAAAACCCTCTCAGAAATGAGGGGAGGCCTGTGCCCAGCAGTGGGACGTATATAGGCTGTAACTTTTTCACTTTTAGTGTCCATTTACATCAATACATCGGTGCATCCGATGGAACTACGGAGAAAAGCACTTTGTCCACTTGTCCTTAGGGGTCTTTTCGACGGCATTTTGAAACGCAGTTATTGATTCCTCGGCGTCCATAAAACGAAGATTGCTTTTATTTTCAGAAATAATTAAAAATTTTAAGGTGCAAGGTCGGGGCTACAGGGCGGGTGAGCCAGTAATTCCACGTCTGACGTCGCCAAGTAGTCGATTGTTTACTTGGCGGTGTGCGACGAGGCGTTGTTGTGGTGATAGAGAACTTTTTCCAAGACAAGTGGTAAATAATTGTTAGTGTACCACTCTGCAGTAACTGTTTTTCGATCCTATAAACAATTGTTGTGTAATGACTTCGATGCTTCGACCTCTTTTTACTTTAGTTGGCAATTCCTCGGAAGGAAACACCCATACAGCAGACTGTTTCTTATTTTCAGAATCATAACAATGAATCCAGCTTTCATCACCCGTAAGTATGTCGAACACAGCATTTGAGTCACTTCCCGTTAAATCTTTGAACTATGAAAATAAAATAATTTGAGGAAGTGGAATATAATAATTTGAAGGAGGAATTTAGTAAAGTCTGCCTGCCACTATTCATTAGGTAAACGCGGAAGATTGCTTCCTATTCATTTATGTGATTTACAAAAGCTCTATTCAAAAACTCAAATCGATGGTTATTTTCCAGGATAAAGATTCCACCCGGTGCGGCGGATGATCTCCCGAAAGATATTCTGAATTTGAAGTATCGATGTGAAGTATACTTTTCGATATAATCTCATAAAATTCCAATTTTCTCTTGATATCATGCGGTGAATTTCTCTGTGGACTACTTTATCTTTTTATAACAAAATTTTCTGCCAAGAATATGTTTTGATGTTTTTTATAGGACAGTACAGAACCAAGTAGTTATGTTAAAAATACATAACTAATGTATATGTGTATATGTGTGTAATACTCGTAATATAAGCGAACTATTGATATGATTCAAGCAACTGCTGATTTCAGACTTTCTTAAATTAAGGATTATGAATAAGATATTCCAGCAAAAACAATCTGGATTAGAAAATGTAATATGAACATAGTTTATGTTACAACATTTTAAATAATAAGGTACTGGTAGTAGGTTTAAATAATAAGGTACTTTGTTGCGGAGGCAAGACAGACATGGCAAGAACTCTATCCCAGCAACAATGTTCCACTGGAAGCTTCTCAAAAAAACAGTGGAATATTCCGATCTCCTGACTAAGGAATCCCATTACCGGTTAGACGCTTTAACATTAAGTTATCTTGGTACATTACTTATCTAGAAAGCTATAAAACTATACAATTTTTTATAATCAAGCTTTTATTAAAATGCTCTAAAAAGGAGAAAATAATTTTTAAATAAAATCAAACTCATGTTTTTATTACAATATACAATTTACATATGACATAAAAGTTCGTTGTAATTAGAATTTTTGTAATTTAGAATGAATTCGTTTTATTTTTCGTATTTTTCTCAGCAAACTCTTTCATTTGATACTCATATCATTGGAGTGCATAGAAAATAACTAGTCCGCCATCTTGAGCGGTCGGCCGCGGTCGTTGGGTTTAGAATAACGACACTCAGCTAATCGTAGACAAATAAGTCTACGTAGCTAAACTGCGACGAATAGACTTATCACCCGTCTGGATAAAGAATGGGATTAAATATGGCTGCTTATAGAGCCCGTACCGTCAACATGTACAGTACCAATAGCGGAAACCCCATAATAACGATATATAGTTATAACGTTATTCGGTAAATTGAAAATTTTCCATTAGGCTGAGCACGCACTGCGATTAAACGCGAGTGGTTTAAGAATAGCTGAAAACGTAAAACCGCACACAATCACGCACTGTGGCTGGCGCTTTGCTTAATTTTATTTCAGTAGCACTATAGATTTCTCGCGAGTAGCGTCTGTTGTGACTTTGGTTTTTAAATTAAAAAATAGAAAACGTAAACCACGGTACCACCATAAGTACTGGGTACATTCAATAACAGATAAAAGACACTGAAAGGATACTTTTGCTACTAATTAGCACCACAAATAACGACTGTCCTCTGCGCTTGCGTAGTCGAGACTGAAAAAAAAAAACCAAACGCAATTAACCGATGTGCATGCGCTGCCATACTATTACTATGGGACACATAAAAATCGCGCGCTTACAAACTGCGATTCAAATGCAGGAAGTTGACGTTTTAAAATCAGTCACTTAAAAAGTCGCTAATGCGTGCGCTTGTATAGGAAGCTATGTGTTACATTTTTTGCGGTTTCAGACGTGTGGTTAAACGCGTGCGTTTAATCGCAGTTCGTGCTAAGGCTTAGCGCGAACTGCGATTAAACGCGCGCGTTTTAGGAATAGCTGAATACGCAAAAACGCGTATCAACACGCACTGCGGCTCGTTTTGCTTAAATTTATTTCATTTCACCATGGATTTCTGGCGAGCAGCATGTGTTGTAGCTTTGATATTGAAATTGAAAAATAGAAAACGTAAACAACGCCGCCGCCATAGATACTGGGTACATCCACTAACTGATCAAAGACATTTGAAAGGATACTTTTGCAAAATGTACAACAACGTGCGTCAACATCCCGATAAGTTTTTGAATTACTACAGAATGTCGATTGGCACTTTTGATAAATTATTACAAGACGTAGGCATAATTACATACAATTTGAAGACACTTCATTTCATAATGCAATATCACCTGAAGAGCGACTTTCAGTTACGTTAAGATAAGAAAACAATTTTAATTCTTTTAAAGCTTTATTTCGCAACAAGTAAATTAAAAAATAATTATGTAACCAACTTTTCTAGTTACTCTTAGGCATGGTCTTGATCTTGTAACTGGTTTACAAATTGTGTCAAATAATCGGCAGTCTCATTGACTGGTTTCAAAATTTGTTGATCGATAATTTGTATCTGATTTTGCAGCATCGTTGGATGATAGGATAGCCGGTGCGTGCTGAATTGTAGTTGATGACTGTGGAGATGGGCTTGTTGGAGGTATTGTTGGTGATGGTGATTGAATAGAATAGAATATATGGATACACCATCGATGAGGATTGCGGAGAATACTGATACTGATAGGGGGCCATATGTTTGATGATACAATGGTGAACTAGTTATTTTTGGTCCTTGAAATTGAGCTGGTTGGTTGATAACGTGTTGTAATGGTTGCGGAGATGGATGAGTACATGCTTTTTTTAAGACATTAAGGATTTCAATCTTAGCATAATATTTTTGGTCTTCATTTTATCTACGTAACGTGGGAACCAACATAAGCGCGAAGTTTTTTTTTCATCCTCTTCTTCCTGTGCTTGTTTGTCTTTTAATATATCAAGTAATTATTTGTCTATTTCTGTTGAATTGTTGTTGTCTCGAGAACAGTTCTTCTTTCGCACTGGTGTTCTATTGTTATTAGTAAGTTGTGAATTCTGAGCTGTAGTAGACAATGTTATACCTTGAGTAGAAAAATCCGACGATGCATTTTCATCCTGAGTAGAATTAGGCGATGATAGATTACCTCTCGTTTCTCGTTTTTGCATGGAAGGAATTAGGAAAAGCATTGAATCGAAATGTATATATTTCTTTTTCTTTGAAGAAGCAGCTTGTCCAGATTTGCCTTGTTGTGCTGCCAATTCTTTAACGAAGCAATCTTTCATGTTTTTCCATTTTTTTTGTATGGAGTTCCCTGAAACCAAATAAACAAAATTAAAATCTTGTTCACAGATACCTTGCCTCGGGAAATAGCATAAAGTCGTTGTATTTTGAATACCTGATTGGCGCTACGACTATCAGTGAAATTATCCATCATACGTGCAAGCAGTTGTGGTCATATTTACAGCCTACTTATTTGAAAGAAATGACAAAAGAAGACCGGTTAAACATAGCACGACAGTTTTTCATACAAACAAACTTTCCAAATTGTGTTGGCGCAATTGACGGCAAGCACATAAGAATCGAAAGACCCGATTATACCGGCTCAGAGTCATTTAATTACAAGAAGTTTTATTCAATTATTTGTTGCTGTTGCCGATGCTAACTATAGCTTTGTAGCTATTGACGTGGGTGCCTACGGATCCAATAGTGACGCCAGCGTATTCCGATATTCAAATTTTTGCCGACTACTTTGCATCTCGATCTGATGCCTTAAATTGGCAATACGATGCTATTAACTAACTTTTTATAATAAAATTAAGCACAACACATACCTTTGTTTTTCTTTTCTGCCCCCGACAAGGTAGACCAATTTCTGCACACATTTTGATACACCTCCTGCCAAAGTCGGGCTTTAATATTTCTGTCTCTGTATTGATTTAACGATTTGTCATATAATGCCGGCCTTTTTTCCACTTCAATAATAATGTTTTTGATACATTGTCGTAGTCTACATTCGATGTTTCTGAGTCGGACGACATGACAGCAAAAACGTCTATCCTCCGCACTCGCACAGTTGAGGCTGAAAAAAAACCGAATGCGATTAAACGCCATGCGTGCGCCACAGTACTGTTACTATGGGACACAAAAAAACCGCGCGTTTTCAAACCGCGGTAAAAACGTAACAAGTTGCGTTTTTAAAATCAGTCACTGAAAAAAGTTACTAATGCGTGCGCTTGTATAGAAAGCTATGTGTTAAATTTTTTTTGCGGTTTCAGACTTGCGGTTAAACGCGGGCGTTTAATCGCAGTGCGTGCTAAGCCTGAGCCTTAATGAGAAAATATTTGAAGAAAACTGTACACGCAAGTAGGTACTTTAATTTAAAATTAAATTTATAACTAGCGACCCGCTCTTGCTTTGTCTGATGGTTTTTAATAATGTGGCGTTATTTAGACTTAAGATATTCATTAAAGTTCATGATCTTATATTTCTGTTTAATGAAATCCCTAAATTTTTCGGATAAAATTTAATCTAGATCACTCCTGGTAATACACTCTTTTTGTTTGAGAAGTTTTATTGCAATCGGTTCAGCCATTCCAAAGATTAGCTCGGACAAAGAGGTAAAAGAAAATTTTCAAAATAGTTATTTCTCAACGACAAAAATAAATTAAAATATCATTAAATTATGAAGAAAACTCAGACCTCGTCCTAGCTCAGAAATAAGCAAAACTGAAGACACTTTTTTGTGGTTTATGGTATTTTGTTATCATTAATTCCAATAAATAATGTTGGACTGAAGTTATAGAACTTACGAAAAACGCATATTGCAACTTATTTTTTTTTGCAGTCTTTAACGGCGGGTATGATTAAAGAAAGCGACAGTATGCGAGCAAGAGGTAAATATAGGCGCCGCAATTATATTAAAGAATGGGATTGAAAAAAAAAATTCAATCCCATTCTTTAACACACGAGTGAATACAAGAGAAAACACACACGAATATACTGGCGTATAGATGAACATAGTGTGCAAGGAAGAAGAAAATTCCTTATGGTATAAATTCAAGATAGAAAAGGATACCAAATCTCACAACACTGTTATTTGAATGATAGGTTGATAGGTCGGCACGCACGAAATAAGCGCGTAGATATTATATAATTATTTAGATTACTCTAGTGTTAATTTTTGGAATTAATAGTTTTCCAAAATGGTTACATGTACCGTGAGTGACTGTGATGTCAATAATGGATTTAATCCTCAATGATACAAATTTCACAGTTAAATTCGCAAGACGTCGTTACTGTTATGACGCGTTTATTTTTGGTTAAAGTTTATGTTATATTATACTGTTGAAATTATAATTATTAATTTTGACATTTTGCAAAGAAAAAGTCACGTTGTATGATAATTTGTATTATTTTGGTGAATTCACTTTTGAACAAAATATTTACTAATGCACACAAAATAAAAACACTCACGCCTCACCAGAGGGGTAGAAGACTACAACTTCCATTTAGCATGATCGAATTCTCTCTCCCTCCCACACCTATACCTACGTCCAGTCCATTTCGAAACTCCACGTCCCTTCTGCACTATTTGCTTTTCATCTCCCATTCATTCTTTCACTCCCCCTCCCGGAGGGGCGAAAAGAGGATTGCGGAGGCCCGTCTATATCAAAATTAACGTTGATATTTATATTGAATGTTTATTAAGAATCACTAGACTTACCCACACAACAAAAAATATATAACAAAATACCAAAATGTATCAGAAGTATTAAAAGCCTGCAAAAAGTTTAAAAAGAAAGTTCATACATATTTACCGAAAAAGTGTTATTACTCGTTGCACGAATTTTCTTAGTGATAGAGTAGGAAATAGGAATAAATTATATATTATGATATCGTTAATATCTAAATTAATTGTAAATATTTAACTAAACTAATTAAACAATAATAATAATAATGATTGCCAATATTTACAGTGTCCGTGCAGGGTTCTTGTTTTGAACTACTTTTATAATTAAGTCCAAATGTATAAAACACGAAAAGAAAATAAATTGAATTGAAAAAGAGGAAATAAATTAAATCCTCGATTTGCGTACTAAAAACGTAATTTTATTTTGCCGTTTGTCAAACACATTCTCTCTCGATTCTTTAGTTAAAGTAGTAGAAGGCATTAAATGGGCCAGTTGGTTGGAATCCAAAGAAGAACTCTACAGCAAAAATGTTCTAAAAAAATAAAAAATAAAAAGCTGAATAAGAACAATTTTATCAAAAAGAGCCATTCCTACATTACAAAATTAATTGTTACAGTAATACTTCAAAAATTCAACTTCAAAAACTTTAGGTAAAAATAGAGATAGATTTTTATACATTATAAAACTTTAGTATATTAAAAATAAAAAATTCTTGAGATTCTCCTAATTAAGTCATTATGAACCCAACTATCTATTTATCAACCTATATATCCTTATTTCATCACACGCACCTTACGGTCACACTGGCATAACACTGATGGCATCACGCTATTTTTCCCAAAAAATAATATAACTTTTAGCGTAGTTAGGTATAGATATTTATTAATGCTCCTGAAGCGCCGCCAAACGCCCGCGCATGTGACGCCCGGTTTAGTGTGCCAGGATAGTATAAATTCCATAGTATTTGATACTCACAATGCTCGATTCCCGATTCATGCTTGATACCCGACGATAGTATACCGAGGACGTATTTGGCTAGTCTCTGTTAAGATCATTATGTTTTTAAAATTCATGAAGCTAAAATATATAAATTTGTTATTACTTTATATTTTTCAGGATACAAATGAAGGAGACTGTAGCTTCATAAACATATTGGCCCTTAAACAGCCCATTTTATTTAAGTGACGCCTACAAGTTTTCTTAAATTATTAAACTTACATTTAGGTGCAGCTTATTCCCAGGAATATGTTATTTGAATATTTTTTAATTATTTTAAAACTATAATGGTAAAAATTCAGTTAGTTTTTGAAGTTATTCAGTTTCGTACACTAAACTACTTTTTTTAATCTTTTTACCTCCTCCTTAAAAATAATTTTTGGATAGTATCTGTAAAATTTCACACATCACTAGCTAACGCATACAAGACAAATCAAAATTCGTCACGCGTTTTGGGGCTATCAGGTCGCCTATACGCCAGTATATTCTAAGTCTATGAGCTAACCATATTTTGTCATCCAAACTAAACATGTATGCAAAATTTCAGCTTAATCGGTTAAGGATAACTGCTTTAAAATTCAGTTGCAAGATTTGAACCTAACAAACATACCGACAATGCATGTTAATTCAAATCATTTAATAAGGGTTTTGTTTTTAAATGAAAATAATATTCGTTTAATATTTAATTAATTAAAAAACGAACTTATAGTCCATCTGAAGGAGAGAGACTACTGCAGCACATGGATACCTGCAACTAGCTGCCAATAAAGATCACTACAGATGTGTGGTCACCTCTAAGCCTCAAGGTGAATATATTATTACTATTTAATTTTTTTATAAATAAACTATTAAAGACAAAGGCAAAGACACATTATACTAATATTTGCGTGCCTTTAGGCCTGAGTCAGTACCCTCAATCACTTAGCAATAGTGCATTCACTTTTGTATTATTGTTTTAAGGATATAGGGAATGAGTATAATTAAAGGCTGTGAGGCATTTCATCTGTATCTTTTTTTTTTAATTTTCATAAGCCAGTGCTTGACGACAATCCCACCTGGTGGTAAGTGGTGATGCAGCCTTAGATGGTAAATCGCACTGTCTTCGCGTAACAAACAGAGCCGTGGTAGCTCAGTGGTGAACGCTCGCTGTAAATATAACAGAACGCGAGTAACCCGGGTTCGATCCCCGCCGGCACTAATGAAATTGTTAATTGCAATTTTAAGTGCTGATTTACCACGTGCTCGGCGGTGAAGGAAAACATCGTGAGGAAACCTGTCTGAGGAATAAGAAAAAAAAATATTTCGAAGACATGTGAAGTTCGTCAACACGCATTTGGGCAGTACGGCGGACACTACCTTGCCCTAAACCCTCTCAGTAATGAGGGGAGGCCTGAGCCCAGCAGTGGGACAAATATAGGCTGTAACTTTACTTTACTTTACTTCGCGTAACAAAAGCCTATTCACTAATAGCCTTCAAGACGCCCAGATTGTGTTCGGATGGAAAGATCGCACGCAGCATCTTTAAATTCCTAAGTCAAGTTGGTCGTGAGTGTTCATATGTTTTAATTTCAGATATGTATCCTATTTGTTTGTTCTTAACAATGGTACAGACGTCTGGTAAGTGCAGGCCAGATTCTCCCACCCCACTCCTCTACCAACATGTTACCGGAATTAAATGTTAAACTACCCCAGGAGGGTACCAGCACCCCTGGAGAATCCTTCGCTAAGCATCCACGACCAAGCTACTCCCCTCCTGAACGTAGTCAGGCTTCCCTGCGTATTCTGGTGTGGGGGGGGGGTCAAAACTCCGCTCAAGACAATAACTGCTCGGGGCAAGCTGAGCAATAAGACCACGGCGACCCCTGCCACGCTATCCATGAATTTCTGCAATATCAGGAGACTTCACTCGAACCTAAATGCCATCCACTACCATCTCCAGATGGCGAAGCCCGCTGAGCTCTTTCTGACCGAAACGCAGGTGTCCTCTCCGGCTGATGCTACGTATCTCTCCTATCCGGGGTACAAAGTGGAACATCCTTTGTGCCACGGGCTGGAGTCTGCGTATACGTCAGAGAAGACATCTGTTCTCAACACCTCGGCAGTCTTGCAAGTTTGAATCTGTCCATCCTTTGGCTATGCGTAGACAACGACGACTATATGCGCTTCTACGGCAGCCTCTATAGGTCCCATAGCGGTAATGCCGAAACAGACCAACTCTTCGACCACGTCCAAATGGCTACAAATTCGTTGCTACAGCAGATCCCCTCCGCAAGATCGCGATCTTCAGCTCCTACCATGCCGAATGGCTTGCTTCACGTTTAACCGATCATGCGCGGAGATCTGTTCATGATTTTGCCTTGGAATATGGTCTGACACAACTGGTTACTTCGCCTACGCGGATTCTAGATGTGTAGGATCATGCACCTTCCCTGTTGGACCTTCTGCTGATCTCTCAACCGGACATATATCAAGTCTCCGTCGATGCCCCCTTTGGCTTCTTGGATCATTGTCTTGTCCGAAGTGTGGTGCCACTAACGCTGAAATCGCGGTTGCATTCTGCAGGCTGCCGCCGTGTTTGGCACTATAGGTCAGCCGATTGGGATATGATTGCGGTCTTTCTTTGCAACCTACCCTTGGTTTGCTTCTCGCTGGACGATCCTAACGTTGTTGCTAATTCTGTCGCTGATGTGGTACTTGAGGGTATGGAACTTTTGTATTCTTTCCTCTGTGGTGCCCATCGGAGGCAGATTTCAGCCATGGTTTAATCGCTTCTGTAAAATAGCATCATGCTATAAGCAGGAGTGCTACCTGACCTGGGCTGACGCATCAACGTCCTGGAATGTAAATACCAACACCCTTAAAAAGAAGTACAATTCCGCCTCCAGGACCTTCAAAAAAATCATTGCAAAGCCAGAGCACATAGGCAGAATTGGTGAGAAACTTATTCACCTTCCTTCTGGAACCCATTCATTTTGTGATTAGCTTCTGGTCTACTTGACTTATCAATGGGCGGAAGCAATAGAGTCCAAGGCATTGAGCATTGGCCGTCAGTTTAGACATTGCGAAAGCCTTCAATCGGGTTTGGCACAAAGCGCTTCTTTCGAAGCTTCCTTACTATGGGCTTACCGAGAAATTGTGCAATTTTATCACCAATTTTCATGCAGATCGGAGCATCAAGGTCGTTGTAGACAGTGCATGCTCCGATTACAAGCCTATTAATGCTGACGTTCCACAAGGCTGCGTGCTATCACAAACGCTGTTTCTTCTGCATAATGATATGTTGCAAACCGGTAACATTCATTACGATGCGAATGACAACACTGGAGATGCTCTGTACACAGGCTATGCCAATATTTCTCGGAAAAATGTCTCCAAGTACCGGGACATACTTGTGTCTGAAGTCTAGTATTTGCTGAACAAAGTCTTGGATTAGACTAAATCTAGTCCAGTTTAACCCTCAGAAGACACAAGTTTGCACGTTAACCGCTAAAAAGAACCCCTTTCAACTGCACTCCTCTTGTTGCTTCAGCCAGTGTCGGAATCCTCGGCGTCGACATATCGAGTGACGTGCAATTTCGTGGTCACTTGGAAGAGAAGGCCAAATTGGACTCTGAAAAGCTTGACGTGCTCAGCAGATCGGGACAGTATTTCATGCCGGCACATCGCCTGCAACTTTACAAGGCGCAGGTTTGGACGCACATGGAAGACTGTTCCCATCTCTGGGCTGGGGCTCCCTAGTGCCAGCTCCTTCCACTTGACTGCATCCAGCACAAAGTGGCTCGAATCGTCGATGTCCAAGTGCTTTCCGATCGATTCACTGGCGGTGCGAATATGTGTTGCATCTCTTTGTATTTTCTTTCGCATCTACCACGGGGGGTGCTCTGAGGAATTGTTCGGATTAATCCCAGCCGCCAAATTTCATGAACGCACTAAGCGGCAAACCTCCCGATACCATCCACAACATCTGGATGCTTGGTGGTCCACCACTGGGAGTTTTCTTTCACGTATGACCTCTCTGTGGAATAGTTTACCATCGGCGATTTTTCCGGACCGATACGACCTAGGGACTTTTAAGAAAATACCTTACTTTTTCTAAAAGGCCGGCAATGCACCTGCAATTCTACTGGTGTATCAGTTGTTCATGGGCGGCGGTAATCACGTAACATCAGGCCAAGTGCTTTCCGATCGGCTCGATTCACTGGCGGTGCGAATAGATGTTGCATCTCTTAGCATTTTATTTCGCATCTACCACGGGGGTTGCTCTGAGGAATTGTTCGGATTAATCCCAGCCGCCACATTTCATGAACGCACTAAGCGGCAAACCTCCCGATACCATCCACAACATCTGGATGCTTGGCGGTCCACCACTGTACGTTTCACTAGGTGTTTTCTTTCACGTATGACCTCTCTGTGGAATAGTTTACCATCGGCGATTTTTCCGGACCGATACGACCAAGGGACTTTCAAGAAAATAGCTTACTTTTTTCTAAAAGGCCGGCAACGGACCTGCAATTCTACTGGTGTTTCAGATGTGGCATTCATGGGCGGCGGTAATCTCTTAACATCAGGTGAACCGTATGCTCGCTTGCCCCCTCTCCTGTGAAAAAAATTGTAGTAGAGTAAAGAAGTAGTCTATACATGTCCCACTGGTGGGTGCCTTTTCTCATTTCGGAGCTAAAAAAGTTCTACCGTGGTGTCCAAGTGTACGTTGGTGACTCACAATTTCTACTGCCAAGCTTTATCTACCATAACTACATTTCATGGCTCGATAGTATTTTTATAGTATATTTAAAATTTATATATAGCAACTAATGTTCTACCAAGTTATTATGAAACGTACAAGTGGTAATATAATATGAACTTCTATAAAAACATGTCTTTGTAGAGTATATAGTTTCATGAAATCGTTCAATTTGAAAATGAGACCGAGTTGCATTCATAAACAACGATATTTCTTTTTATTTATGATTTTAACGATATTTGTCTACAATTAAGAGAAAATAGTACATTAATCTCCTAATTGCTTTTACAAATAATTTCGTTACGAATCACTACCGGCATATAAAATAGAATAGTAAATCCAACTCGTTTTACTCGCATACTATGAAATTTTAAGGCAATTAAAACACACGCTAGGATACGAGGGTTGTCGCTTACGTTAGTTTTTAAATAATAATGGTAAAAGTTTGTACATTATAGAATTGTATGTATCTTTGTCCGTACCGTGTAGTGGCGGTGTAAGAATATCTAATATGTAACCTATAGTTGCCAAGCGTGGCCACTATGTCAATATATATCGATGTTCTAGAAGACAAACATGGTAATTACAAAATTTTGATAATTTAACATTTTAATCCCAAATGTATTAAATGAGTATTCTCTACGGATCCCTCATCCAAATGACATTACTCCGTCTCTTTCTGTCTAAACTGTATTTATACATTCATAGTAAGTGATGTCATTTTGAAGCCAAAAAAAGTAATGGCAGTTATTTACCATCAGTTTAACTACAAAAAATACTAAATAGATTTATGACATTTCGCTTGTGTTTACCATGATTGACAAATAAGCTAAATATTTTTATTACGTTTGTCATTTTGTAACCGTCGATTCCCAATTATATTAAATGATGTAAATCTTTTCAAGTGCCGGTAGACAAATGGTTTAAGTGATCATAATACTACTAAAAACTCGTCAGCAAATAATAAAAAATATTAAGTGCTTTAAAAATACTAGGTCAGTGTAGACAAACATTGTAAATGATTTAACAACAAAGTTCTAAGTAAACAACAGGAGCCCGAGAGTACTAAAGTTATTTAATATAATTAACCAAGGCATTGACAAATAGTAAAAATTATATTATTATGATTGGTATTTTCATACTCTAACGTTGCATTTCATATTAACGGATCTTAGTATTGAAAGAAATGGCCGGCCGCCGCACGACTGGGGCACGACATTACGCGAACTTTGACGAACGATACCGTTCATTGGTGGAACCCTTCTCACGGCACCCCCTTGCACTGACTTGTACAGTGAACTGTTTGTTTACGCAAATACGTCACGGGATTATAACCAGCAAATTACTTGAATTGTTTTGGGTGCTCATTTCCCGTCACTGTTTTCTTAGTGTATCAAAAATTACTTTAGTGATACCTATAAACAATAATAATACTTTATTTGCTGTGATTAAGTGATGCAGAAATGGATAACAACGAATCTTGGAGATTAATGCCTACTTTCCAACGTAACTTTATCAATTTATTATTTTATGGATAACTTAAATAATGAACACACGCACAGAAGCCCCTGATGCTGCCGGTGCTTCACATGTCGCCTCCACTGCCCCGCTGCCGCTGTTCTCACCTGTAGCAAACGCAGACGTTCGCACAGATGCCCTTGATGCTGCCGGTGCTTCACATGTCGCCTCCACTGCCCTGCTGCCGCTGTCCCCGCCTGCAGAAAACGCTGAAGTTCGCACAGAAGCCCCTGATGCTGCCGGTGTTTCACATGTCGCCTCCACTGCCCCGCTGCCGCTGTTCCCACCTGTAGCAAGCGCCGACGTTCGCACAGATGCCCTTGATGCTGCCAGTGCTTCACATGTCGCCTCCACTGCCCCACTGCCGCTGTCCCCACCTGCAGAAAACGCCGACGTTTGCACAGAAGCCGTTGATGCTGCCGGTGCTTTACATATCACCTCCATTGCCCCGCTGCCGCTGTCCCCGCCTGCAGCAAACGCCGACGTTCGCACAGAAGTCCTTGATGCTGCCGGTACTTCACATGTCGCCTCCATTGCCCCGCTGCCGCTGTCCCCGCCTGCAGCAAACGCCAACGTTTGCACAGAAGCCCTTGATGCTGCTGGTGCTTCACATGACGCCTCCACTGCCCCGCTGCCGCTGTCCCCCGCCTGCAGCAAACGCCGACGTTCGCACAGAAGCCCTTGATGCTACCGGTGCTTCACATATCACCTCCACTGCCCCGCTGCCGCTGTCCCCGCCTGCAGCAAACGCCGACGTTCGCACAAAAGCCCTTGATGCTGCCAGTGCTTCACATATCGCCTCCACTGCCCCGCTGCCGCTGTCCCCGCCTGCAGCAAACGCCGACGTTCGCACAGAAGCCCTTGATGCTGCCGGTGCTTCACATGTCGCCTCCACTGCCCCGCGGCCGCTGTCCCCGCCTGCAGCAAACGCCGAGGTTCGCACAGAAACCCTTGATGCTGCCGGTGCTTCACATGTCACCTCCACTGCCCCGCTGCCGCTGTCCCTGCCTATAGCAAACGCCAAAATTCTTCCTGAAACACCCAATACCGCCGCGGGTTCTCATGCTATCTCCACTACCTTGGTGCCGCTGTCTCTACCTGCAGCATCCGCCGACGCTCTTAAAGAAACCGCTTCCGCAGCTAATGATCTATATATTGCTTTTAGCAGTACTTTTGAACCACAAGTTAACTCTTCATCGATTCCTTTGTAAGGATCACGCAATTCTAGATAGTCACCACTTCCACATCACACACCACATTCATTTCCACATTACATCGAATAGTATTAATATAGAGCAAATAATTCTCGATCTTCAATTGTCAGACTGATATGATTCCCCTTACGTAGATTCTGAATCGTCTTACCATCCAGAAAATAACAAACCTGCAACTTCATCTCATACATCTCGGGACGAAATTGAGGAAATAAATGTGCGAAAAAAAGTAAAAAAAGCAAACCCAGTCACGTGGAAGAGAAATATAGCAAAAAACAAACGTCAAAGCGGTAAATCTCATATCAACAGAAAGGGTAACATTGTTATCGCAAAAAAACTGTGTTCCTACAGATTGCATTGTAGATTTGTGATTGTAAATGTAGATACAAATGTAATGAAAATTTTCCTGAAAATGTAAGAGCTGATCTCTGTCGTAATTTTTGGGGAATTGGAGAAAGAAAATATCAAAAAATTTACCTTTCAAAATTTATAAAACACGCAAATATTCAACGTATAACGGTTGCAGCTACAAAACGACGCGCTATGTCGTAGCTATGTATGTAGTGTAATTGATACTTGCACTATACAGATGGGACCAAATTGCGTTTACGTGGATCATTATCTACGGCAGGGATTTATTCCTGGAAACAAGACTTCAGATGCAATGAAACAATTTGTTAAACTGCATATTGACATGTTTCCTAGAATCGAGTCCCACTATTGCAGAAATATATTTGAAGACTCCAAAAAATATATTTGAAGAGTGACCTTAATATGGCTCGCTTATATAAATTGTACAAAGAAGTATTCTGTCCATAAAGAAATATAAATCCTGTTTCTTTGTATGTTTACGAGAGATTTTCAAATCGTATGACCCACCACTAGCATTTTACAAACCAAAAAAGGATCAGTGAACTAAATGCGATTAAATTAATGAACTAAAACCGATAACCGATGGGGAAGAAAGGTTCTCGAGTGGCAGCCTCGTACCGGTAGGCGTAGTGTAGGGCGACCCCCCCCTAGATGGAGTGACGACCTGGTAAGACATGCAGGAAGTCGATGGATGCAGGTGGCTCAGGACCGTGCTTTGTGGCATTACTTGGGGGAGGCCTATGTTCAGCAGTGGACTTGTGAAGGGCTGTAATGATGATGATGATGATGAACTAAATGCAATGTGTAAAAATGTGCTGAAGAAAAAACCAGTTTACAAAGAGACTATGATGAACATAAAGCAAGAGAAAAAGAATCTTTGGAAATAAAGGCATACGACAAGAAAGAAAGCATAGAAGGCGATGGTACGAAGCGTGCAATAACATTTGACCTGCAGGCAATATTGTCAGTGCCTCACACCGCTAACTCTAAAATTTACTACTTACTGAAATTTTCTATCTACAATTTTACTATTTTAGATAATTATCAAAATACAGGACTGTATTATATGTGGGACGAAAGCAACGGAAAAAAGGCAGCACTGAAATTGGTTCAATTTTACTTGAGTACTTGATGGATTTGCTTGAAAACGTAAAAACTGTTACATCCTTTTCAGACACCTGCAGTGGTCAAAATCGCAACAAATGCGCCACATTGGCAGCATTGTATGCCGTAATAAATGTCTCATTTGAAAATAGTTAACCTTAATACATGGAATATGGCCATTCGTACCTGGAGGCTGACTCTATACATGCAAGTATAGAGCGTGCCCGAAAGCATAAAAAATATTTACTGCAAGAGAGTATGCTTTAGTTGTCAGTTCTGCGAGATCCAGACCCAAACCTTACGATGTGATCATGATGAAGTACCCCGATTTCTATGATTTAAAAGCTTTAGAAAAGTCATTGAATTTCAACATGGTAAAAAACAAAAATAATGAAAAAGTAAAGTGGATGACCACTAAATGGATACAAGTAATAAAGAAGTCTACGGGATCGGTATTTTACAAATATAAACTAAGTGATACGACTTTCAAAGAAATTGACATTACTGCATGTAAAAAAAAGAAGAAAAAGGGATCAAGTATTTCTAGTTTATACAAGCCGTTAAAAAGCATACAATTTTCAGGTGCCAATTTCAAAGGCTAAGAAGAAGGATTTGATGACGCTGTTGAAGGATGGAGTGATCCCAAAAGACTACGTTGATTATTACACTAACATTCCTTATATTGATGAAGAAAATATAATTAACGATCGTTCAGGCTCAGAGTCCGATGACTGACCTTAGAAATTTACAGTTTCAATACTTAAATAATAATACTAACATAATACTTACATGTTTGAATTGTTTGGTAATAAAGAAACTTTTATACGTAATTATTTTTTAATACATCGATAATAAATTTTTCATTATACCCTAAATTAATATACAAAACACGAAAGTGTTAAGCGAACAATATTATATAAGTTTGTGTACAAACGTACTAAGTGATACCCTTTTTTGCTATTTTGGTATTTTTATAGAATGCTTTAGATAATTGATGTTTGAATTTATGATAAGTATATAGATTAATACCCTAACTAATTATAGGCAGTATATACATAGTTTCAATGACCAGTTTTTACTTATAGTATCTAGAAGTTTTGAATCATTAAAAACAGTCCTCCTGAAAAATTGGTATATGTTCAGCAGTGGACTTTTGTAGGCTGTAATGTATGGATGGAGTAAAAGTTCTATGTTAAGCAATATTTTTATACTTGGCATGGAAAATTTATAACTTGCGTTTTACTGATTTTTAGTGGCCAATTTCCCTTAATCTAGTACAAGTATAGATAGAAAGTTGTAAATGATTATTATGACGTCGTTTGCTAGGTTCAATGACTTTTAAGATACGAAGATGGCTTTTGATTCCTGTCTTTATAGAATAAGGGTTTCAAACAAGCACGTAGTTTCCATGATGGCAAACGGATGCTATGATTGTATACATGTGCATTTATCGTCGTTTGAGGACTAAGATGGAATGCCTCGTTACCAGCAAATAAGGTCTCCGATTCTCCACTCTCTCCATACGAAATATACCAGCATTATTCTGCTATTTTACACTGGTTTTCTGTGAGAACATGGTCCTAATTTTGTCGAGCCGACCCATGCGTGCTATACAATTCCAACATAATTTAAAAGCTGAAGGTACTCCGGGTTAACACTGACATCAGGACGTCATTCATTTCAGTACTCCGTGACCATGGGGGATAAAAAGCACCCGAAACGTCGGGAATTAAAATAAAATAAATTAAACAAGATAATATCCGTAAAAGTAGTTTTATTCAAAACAAAAAATGTGGATCAACAGCGCGTTACAAAAGTTAATTTTAAAACCATATTTCTTATATAAAGACAATATTCTAGGAGTTCTACGCTGCCGCATTACGACATATAAAATCATTAATCATTAAAATACGTTTCTAGAGTAAGGAGAAAAATATCATGTGCAAAAAAGGATCCTATATCCGTTCAGTAGTTTTTGTTTGAATTGTAAATACTTAATCTGTCAAAAATTCTTAAAATGCTTTTAAGGCTTCGATACTCTAAATTAAGCCATATACGGAGTCATGATAGCTTAGTGGCTTAGCATTTAATGTAAATTAAAAAGTACAAGAATGCATAATAAAGTAACTGGGGTTAATCCCCGCTAGCACAAATGAAGTTGTTGATTGCAATTTTAAGTGGTACTTTACTACGTCGCCGCGGCAAAGGAAACATAGTGAGAAAAACTATATATCTAAGGAATAAAATATTTTGTGGACAAGTGAAGTCTGCTTAAGGCTGGGCTGTGACTTTATAAATTTTAGTGATATATGATATCCCTCGTATGTTTAATACAATCATCTGCTACTATTAGAAAAATAAAGTTTAAAATATATAATCCCCATTTTTTCTACCTTATTTTGATATAAAGTAGTCTTTATGTTACCCTGAGCTATAAATTATCTACGTATCATATTACATGGAAATCTGTACAGAAGTCTTGACGTGGATCGTGAAGACATAAAAAGACCGATAATTATTTATACAATTAAAAATAGTTTTGAGAATGGAGTTTGGACGCTTTGGACTCGCCAGGTCCTCTATTATTAATCCCATATAAATTTATGAAATTAAGTACTTCTATATGCAACGTGAAAGAAGGAAAACACCCCTTCATATTTATTACATTACATTATTATTTTTCGAATAAAATTAAAAATACTTATAGTATTAAATACAACAATAACGGTAATCAATGCTGATATAAAGTCACATAAGCGTCTTTTGTTGGCCTTTCAGCCAGCTTATTAAAGACATAAAAGGACCGCAAAATGACTGCATTATGTTTTCACAAAATCATTCGCAATGTCTTTGAGATCTTTTGACCTTCTCTCAAAAAATATTAAATACAATCTGTATATTAGAAAATATTCTGTTGAATTTATTCCGTATACAATTTTCGATGCTTTGATGTGTTTAAACGCATAAAATTATACTTTATTTTCGCTAAATGTCTTTTATAAATTATTCAAAAACTAAAAATATAGCCTAATGGAAGTTTAAATAAACTACAAGTTTTGTAAAATCTCTATTTCACTTGCTTAATTGCTGCTTTATTTCCATGTATATTTGTTACCTATTACTCTAAGAATATAATATTATGTTGACTTTTTACGGAGTTAGTGAGGTTTGTCTGCGGCAAAGACATTTTGTAATTTATTTATTAAAATATTATACGAATACTTTTTATAAATTGAAAAAACAAAATGGTATCTTGTAGTTATTTTCAGTTTACAAAACGCCGATATGTTGGCTTTTTGCGTCCAACTCGACTCTCGATGACGGGGGGAATACACCGCTGACCATTCCGCGGTGTGAGTGCTCCGTGCCGGATTTGCGGTTTACACAGCGTTCGGTTCGCAAAGCACTCTTCTCCCTGGACGTCAGTAAATCAAGTGGACTTAATGGAGTCCCTGCATTGTGCTGAAGATGTGTGCTCCAGAGTTGGCACTAGTTTTAACGCGTCTTTTCCGGTACTCCTACTCCCAAGGCGTATACCCGAATTCTTCGAAGACAGCTTTAGTCAACCCGATCCCTAAAAAAGGCAACCGCTCAGACCCGTCCAACTACAGGCCTATCGCTATCGCCTCCCTGTTTTCCAAACTAATAGAGTATATTGTAAACTGCCAGCTCATGAGGTAGGTAATCTTCTGATCTACCTTACAAATAGATGGACACAAAGCGCTTCTTTCGAAGCTCCCTTCCTATGGGTTTCCCGAGGAATTGTGCGATTGGAACACTAGTTTTCTTGCTAATCGGAGCATCAATGTCATAGTAGACGGTGCATGCCTATTAACGCTGGTGTTCCACAGTGCTGCGTGCTATCACTAACGCTGTTTCTTCCGCATATAAATGATATGTTGCAACTGATAACATTCATTGCTATGCAAACGACAGCACTGGTGATGCCTTATACACCGGCCGTGCCAATATTACGCGGAAAATTTTCGCCAATTACCGGGATTGTATATGAAGTCGAGTCTATGCTTAAAAAAGTTTTGGATTGGGGGCGATTAAATCTAGTCCAATTCAATCCCCAGAAGACACAAGTTTGCACGTTAACCACTTATAAGATCAACTTTGTCGTAATATCTCCTCAGTTTAAAGGCACTTGCCTTGCTGACTCAGCTAGCATCGAAATCCTCGGCGTCGACATATCGAATAGTGTGCAGTTTCGTTGTCACTTGGAGGGTAAGGCCAAATTGGCCTCTAAAAAGCTTGACGTGCTCAGCACAGTGAGACAGTATTTCAAACCGGCAGATCGTTTGCAACTTTAAAAAGCGCAAGTTCGGCCTCAAATGGAATACTGTTCTCACCTCTGGGCCAGGGCACCCTAGTGCCAGCTCTTTCCACTTGACCACATCCAGCGCAGAGCGATTCGAATCATTGAGGACCGAGTTCTTTCTGATCAGCTTGATTCACTGGCGTTGCGTAAGGATGTTGCATCTCTTTGCGTTTTCTATCGTATCTACCATGGGGAATGTTCTGAGGAATTGTTCGGATTAGTTCCAGCCGCCAAATTTCACGAACGCACATCGCGTCAAATTCCCGTTCCCGATACCACCCTCACCGTCTAGATGCGTGGCGGTCCACTACTGTACGTTTTACTAGGAGTTTTCTTCTTCGTACAACTTCTCTGTGGAGTTGTTTACCACCGACGACTTTTTAGGACTGATACAACTTAGGGACCTTCAAGAAAGGAGCTTACTCCTTTCTAAAAGGCCGGCAATGCATCTGTAATTCCTCGGGTGTTGCAGTTGTTCATTGCCGGCGGCAATTAATATATTTTCTCACAAAAGAAGGAAAAAAGAGTAAAACCGGAGACATTTGATCTCGAACCGGCGTTCTATGATTTCAGCACCGCTCAATATACCATTTGAGTTGTCCATAACCTTTTAGGTACCGGCAAAATTTACTTTCGTATTCTAATGATATTGTAGCAGTTTTTCATTGCCTAAAAACATGGATAAAACGACATTATCTAAAAATAAGTCCTAGCTAGATCGATTTATTTCTCCCGAAATCCCCTGCATACTAAATTTCATGAAAATCATTGGAGCCGTTTCCGAGATATAAAATTTTGGAGTACTGACAGTAATTTTATTATAAAAGCATGAAATTATATTTCCAAAATTAGTATTTTTTTATTTAATAGTGTTATGTTTTCATCGCATTTGAATATTTTTCTTCATCATAGATACGTTAAATTTTCGAGTAATTATGGAATATGAGAACCGCCGTGGCAGCAACGCGGCACAAGCGGTACATCAACGACGCTTACGGAGCAAATACTACGAACGAACGCACCACGTGTTACTGGTTGCCTGGGATTCTGGAAATTTTGACCTGAAAACGAACCCCGTGGTCGTCTAAAAACTTTGATCGACAAAATGAAACAAAGGCGATTGTGTAAGCTGAGCAATCTACGGCTGAATTATGAGGAGCTTTCGACGTTAACATCAAAACAATATTGATACATTCAAATTAGCAAGGTAAAAAAGCTTGATAAATGGGTGCCCCACGAACTCAATGCTTGCCATCACGAAGTATGCGTCGAGACGTGCCTTGCACTGCTCAACAGGCACACAAACGAAACTTTGAATCTCATTGTTAACTGCGACGAAACATGGATTTTGTTTGACAATCGCAAGCGCTCAGCAAGTTGGTTGGATCCTGGTTCAGCACCTAAACAATGTCCTTTACGAAAAGTAACACCAATATAAATAAACACAGTTATACAAACTAGAGCCAACCCACAAAACTGGTGAAATTGAGTTATTGGTACCAACAGAATTTACGAGTCAACTTTCATATACTCAAAAGAGATTAAGCTGCTTGAGAAAGTTTTTACTCACATTAATGAAAGCTGCCAAGGATACCAACCCTAGATAGAGTCTTTTTTTAAAAGCTAAACGAACCTATGCCGCATAGTACTTATAGATATTCAGCTTTTTCAATACGCAAAATAGAACCAAGCCACGTGGTTCCCTTAAAAAAAGAAACGGACAAAATTACGTTTGACCTTTTCGATCTAAAAGGAACCATGATGCATGGTTCTATTTTGTATAACAAATAAAGCCGCTTATAAAATAACCAAGATACTTAGTTCCATATAGGTAATTACATTTTTTAAAATCAGTTGTAAAACAAGGAAGGGTCATTCCATGTCAATTCAACACAATTTTGGGAGATTTTCAGAGTTGATGTCTCAGATTTTCATGATATTTTTTATGCGGCAATAGACTTATAAAAAATACCAAATTTCAGTTATATAGCACAATTATTTTTGAAGTTATTAATTTTTTAAGATTTAAATTTTTATAAAAGAAAATTATGTTTTGGCCCCTTTGGGTGCATATAGTCTGACAAACATTGATGATATAAACATGGCAGTGGTCTCATTTTAAAGCTGTTGAATGAGGCTTTTAGACCAGGGTCGATAATTTTAGAAACGAAAAAAAAATTAAAGTAGGATGAAACCTATTGAAAAAGGAAGGGAATACCACTAAAATGATAGGAAAAATAAATTACGGGCGATCTGAGGTTGGGAAGGGGTAGGGGAAGAGTTTTTAAGGGTAAAAATCGGTAAACCTCGATTTCCGGCAAAACTACAAGTCCTATCGAAAAAAGTTCAATGGCAAAGTTGTAGATAATAAAAACATCTACAACTTTTGTATCTATAGTTTTTCTCCATAACCTCAAATTTCATGTGAAAAATCCAAAAAACCACATTTATGATTTTTTATTTTTATCTTTTACAAAAAATTGTTTTTTTTTTCATGATATTTGGTGAAAACTTACTTCTTTATGTCTCAAACAAACTGAAATTTTGAAGGTTTAAAATATTAATTTTTTTACCCTATTTTGACTCGATATCGAAAAAGCACCCTAATTTTCAATCGAAAATTCTCACGTCAAAATATCTGATTTTTCAAAAAAGTCGGTGAGCTTTTTGTTCGTTGATATCTCTATTTTCTGATGGTGTAAAAAATATACATTACTATTGGAAAAAAATTCAGAAAATGCAAAAGAAAAAAAAAATAAAACGAAAAATACTAAAATTCGATTTTTTTTTTAAAAATCTTTATGTACAATTATGAGGTATTCATTAAAATTTTTACTTTAATTACTCGAAAAACGTTAGGTTCCATGTTAGATTATAAAAAAATAAACAAAAAAATTTACAAACCAATTAAACATAAATATTGCAAAAAACTTAGTTGTAAATATTAAAAATACGATTTAAAGGGGATTTTATTAAAAACATATGACTACTGCTACTTTTTTCAGTAATAAAAGTTTATTTATTAAATTTTCATCACATTTATATATTAGAAAATCTCATTATATAGAAATATACACGTAAATCGTACTATTGAGTAGAGATATTTTTTAATGATTACATTACACATTATAATATTTTTAAAATCATTAATCTTTGTATTCATCAAAACATAGTATTCAATTCGAATCACTTATTCATCAGTTTCTGTCTTTTTGATGGTATTTCTTGATCGTTAGATTCGACAGGCCTTTCTGATTCTAGTAGGTCTTCGACATCTTCAAGACCACCATCGTCTTCGTCTCCAACATTATTTTCGGTCTGTATTGGTTCTTCATCCGCAATTTCATCTGAATCATTAACTTCCTCGTAGATTTTTTTCTCCAGATTGGCGCATTGTTCAGAAACATGACAATTTGAGCATAAATTTGTGCATTTTAAACCATGTTTTCGGCAGCCACATTTTAAACTATTACATCCATTAAAATAATACTAGTTTTTACGGAATTTATCGCGTATATTTAATTTTTTTAAATACCCGACGTTTCGAACGCTTTACAGCACTCATGGTCACGGGCGGGACTGAGATGTTCAACGTCCATATGTCATAGTTAACCGCGGTTACCATAGATTAAAATTTAACTTTTGTTCCGATCTATGCAGTATGAACTTATGGTATCGTGAAGTCTAGCAGTTGTATGCTTGGGTTGGGATTTAATTTTATTTATTATAGGATCCCAAGCAGATAGTAGCACCCAGCCATCTTCTCTATTGAAATTAGGATGTTTTTTGATTTCAATAGCCTCGCGAATCATCCTTGGAAGGAATCGGTGTTCTTTAGCGAGGATTTGCGGTCTATCAAATCTGATGTAGTGACGGGGGCGATCCTGTACGTGTTCACAGACTGCAGACTTCCCGGAGCGTCGATTCTTCACATCAGCTATATGTTCTTTAACGCGGGTTTTTATTGATCTTTTAGTTTGTCCTATGTAGGAGAGACCACATTCACAATCAAGCTTGTACACTCCTGCATCTTGCAGAGGGACATTACACTTAACTGATGGTAAAAACTGACCAATCTTCTTCAGCGGCTTGAAGTATGTTTTGATGGAAGCGCGCTTCAAGATGTAGCCAATCTTGTCAGTGACTCCTCTAACATATGGCAGTACAGCAGGTACACGCTCGACTGTGGCCGGCTTCACTCGTTCACTGTGATGTAGGCGCGGGACTCGAAGCTTGTCATGCAAAAATTGCTTGACATAGTGGAGCTCTGCAGCCAGGTGTTTACTGTCACAGATCCCTCGTGCTCTTTGAAACAAAGATTTACCCACGGTAGCTAACTGTGAAGGATGGTGGTGAGAATCACCGTTTAAATATCTATCCGTATGGGTCTTTTTTCTATACACAGTATGGCTCAAGGTGTTATCAGGATTTCGAATTACTAACACATCTAGAAAAGCTAAGGAATTGTTTGCCTCTAACTCCATTGTGAACAGAATTTTGGAATTTATAGAGTTAAGATGGTCTAAAAATGCAGTTACTTTATCTAAAGGTAGAATTGTGAAAGTGTCGTCTACGTACCGCTTGTAGAATCTTGGATTTATGGGAGAACTAAGCAGGGCTTTCTCCTCAAAGTCTTCCAAGAATATGTCGGCGACAATAGGAGATACAGGTGAGCCCATCGCCACACCATCTACTTGCTTGTAGAACTCCTCCTTCCACAATAGGTAGCCAGATGTAAGGCAGTGTCTGAGTAATACTGCATATTCTACGGGCATGTTGTTTTCTTCCAGCCTTCTAGTTACAATTGAGATGCAGTCTTCAACAGGTAAGCATGTAAACAATGACTGTCACTACATCAGATTTGATAGACCGCAAATCCTCGCTAAAGAACACCGATTCCTTCCAAGGATGATTCGCGAGGCTATTGAAATCAAAAAACATCCTAATTTCAAGAGAGAAGATGGCTGGGTGCTAACATCTGCTTGGGATCCTATAATAAATAAAATTAAATCCCAACCCAAGCATACAACTGCTAGACTTCAAGATACCGTAAGTTTATACTGCATAGATCGGAACAAAAGTTAAATTTTAATCTATGGTAACCGCCGTTAACTATAACATATGGACGTTGAACATCTCAGTCCCGCCCGTGACCATGAGTGCTGTAAAGCGTTCGAAACGTCGGGTGTTTAAAAAAGTTAAATATACGCGATAAATTCCGTAAAAACTAGTATTACATCCAGTTTCACAGCTGCAGCAAATAGTTTTCTGCAATTTTTCCGGAATTAATTCCATTTCTGTTAATTTGGGTATAATTCCATGTTGATGTTGCTTCCAGCCCCAATCGGTTGCTGTCAATTCATTACCCAGCCACGTTTGAAGCTGATAATATGCCCTGTATGAATGTTGTTATGCTGCATCTTCTGTGGGTGGAGATTTGCCAATGTGAAAGATGATTTAATTTTTGCCAATTGATATTTTTGAAATCTTAATTGATTCAGTGTTATATTATCCTGTTTACATTTATTTATTTATAGAGATTTAATTATTTTTGATCCATTTTTTATATCTTCTTTTTTACATCCTTTTTTTAAATATTAGCCAAATTTAACAAATTTTGATTGTCTAATAATGAATTTACGATAGTTTTCTTTCCTGCTCCGGCAAATCCGGATCCGGATTGTGTCGCAACCAGAAAAACAATGCAGAAATGCAACGATGTTTTTTAAGGATTCACATTTGAAACTATTAGACGTGAAAAAAAAGATCTTTTATATTTCCAGAACCGGGCTTGAGAAAATAAGTTTTATGATTATTAGAATTTAATTGATTCAAAAGGAGCAAAAGATCAATATCTTGTGCTACAACAATGGCAGTTTTATTAGTATCTTTGGCAATTTCTATCGAGGTCTTAATAATGTCAGCATCAGCATCTTTATAAAATAGCAATAAATAGGCATATACGCATATAATTTAAAGAAAATTCGACAAATTTCACAAAATTTTGTAGTGTTAATTACACTGATGTCATATTTTTTTTCTTATTCCTCAAACATGCAGGTTTCCTCACGATGTTTTCTCTCCCGGCCACAGAGGAAAACAAACATAAATTAAATATTAACTTTATTAACTTATTTAGTTGTTCATTATAGTAGTACATTTCGACTTGCAATTTTTTGTTTATTAATCTAACATGGAACCTAACGTTTTTCGAGTAATTAAAGTAAAATTTTTAATGAATACCTCAAAGTTGTACATAAAGATTTGAAAAAAAAAATCGAATTTTCTTATTTTTCGTTTTTTTGCATTTTCTGAAAAAATATTTTTTACACCATCAGAAAATAGAGTAGAATCAAACGAACAAAAATCCCACCGACTTTTTTGAAAAAATCAGATATTTTGACGTGAGAATTTTCGATTGAAAAATAGGGTGCTTTTTCGATATCGAGTCAAAGTAGGGTGAAAAAAATTAATATTTTAAATCTTCAAAATTCCAGTGTATTTGGGACATAAAAAAGTAAGTTTTCATCCAAATATCATGAAAAAAACAATTTTTTTATAAAAGATAAAAATAAAAAATCAAAAATGTGGTTTTTTGGATTTTTCACACGAATTTTGAAGTTATGGAGAAAAACTATAGATACAAAAGTTGTAGATCTTTTTATTATCTACAACTTTGCGATTGAACTTTTTTCGATAGGACTTGTAGTTTTGCCGGAAATCGAGATTTACCGATTTTTACCCTTAAAAAACTCCCCCCCTACCCTTTTCCAACCTCAGATCGCCCGTAATTTAAATGGTATTCCCTTCCTTTTCCAATAGGTTTCATCCTATTTTAATTTTTTTCGTTTTTATTTATTTTTGACGGCTTATCTACTTAATATGATATGCCACAAGATAGGGTTACAATTTAAAAAAAATTAAAAATATATAATTTTTTTTAAAGTGGCTATTTTAAAATTTTAATTTTTTTAAATATAGTGTATAATGTCTAAATACATATAGCAAAATTCTATCATGGGATCTCAATGGGATCAAGAGATACAGGGCTTCAGAAATACACATGCTTTGTATATAATGTACCAAGTTAGTAAAGTTTTATTTATTAATTACAAATTTTGTTATGCAGTGTGCAGGACACTAATAATTTATAGTACCATGTTTGGAAACCTCTCTTTAAAAGAAAACTGAAACTGATTAGACTACAAGTAGAGGGAAATCCCCTTTTACTCAGATAAAAAGGGGATTTCCCTCAGGCGAAATTCCCCTTTCACAAGGCGGAAGTCAACACTGTGGATTCCTTTTGCATTCCTTTTCCTTATCTGTCAACGATGGAAGTCTCGAATTAATAAATTTGTTATATTGATTCGTTTATTATATTTTTTATCAATCAGGCTGTGCTTCTTGGAATCCGGTCACAGTTTCTTGCCTAATGATACCAATTTTGGCCAAATCGAATGTGCTCTAAAATTGCAGCAAAGAATATACACGCCGATAGACTACATGCAAATAATGCAGATATGCAAAAGGACTAAACCAATGCAAGTACATAGAATGACAAAAGAAGACTTTTTCTCAAGTGCTAACCTAGAAAAGAGAATAAGTAATAGAAAAAAGCTACTGATGGATCAAAAGTATCTCGGCTTAATAAAAAAGAGATAATGGTCAGGAAAAAAGATGAGTTTTCGATTTTTTGAGATCTGATCTAGATGCTGCCTATCTAGAAGTAAATTTAAAGAAAAATTTACGAGGAAATACAGTCTCATTAACTAAAGAACTAATTGATCCGCTTTGGCCTAATGGTAAGCCAGTCCCCGAAGCAAAGTTAAATGACTTAAAAAGCTTGTTGCATTTTATTCCTGAAGATGACAAAGAATTTTACAAACAATTAACGGGAGCTGTTATTGTTGAAGATGACACAGACGGATTTTCTGGTGAAGTAGTTTTTGAGGTGTAAGTGGATGATGACGATTAGGTAATTTTGGATGAAGATCAATAACAGTGCTTTGCTTAAGTAAGTTGTTACAGGTACAATTTTAATGTGTTAAAAATACATACTAGATGTATGTTCAAGTCAATAAAAATGTGATTAAAACATAACTATCTTAAAATTATTTAAAGCAATCTACCAACTTGAAAAATCTTAGCATATTGTAATAAAGAACCAACCCACAAAACAGTAATTTTGCATTAAGGAACCATCAGGTTTTTGATCAAAAAATGGTAAGAAATATGACTAAAATCCAAATAATTTAATTGTCCTATATTGTCATCAATACTAACATCAATATTGTAAAGTTGTTTGTTTCAAATAACTTACCTATTTATTTCTACACACTGTAGAAACAAAAATCTAATTATCTCTAAAGTCCCTTTTTGTGGGTTGGTTCTAGTTTGCATAACTATGTCCAAATGATCTAGCACCGATGTGATTCATCACAGCTTCTTACCAAATGGGATGAGCATTACTGCAAATGTGTACTGTGAAGAACTGAAAACAAAGATAGATAAGCTCGCACGTTTCCAACCAGTTTCGGTCAATCAATCGTTCCCGATGGCGAAAACGCACAACCCCATATTGCACAGCAGACAGTCTCCAAGTTATACGTCTGGGATTAGAAACTCTACATCTTCCGCCGTAATCACCAGATTTGCGCCTACAGATTCTAATTTTTTCATAATTTAGATAACTTTTTCATCATCACCACGATTACAGCCTTTCACAAATCCACCGCTGAACAAAGGCCTCCCCCAAGGAATGCCATAAAGCACGATCCCGAGCTACCTGCATCAATTGACTTTAGTCATGTCTTACATACCATCCATGGCATGGCATCCGCGACCTTGAGTCAGAGCTGCTGTGAGGCTCGGGCACCACGATCCGCTTAAGGATGCTTTGGCCCATGCACTGGAGGTGGAAGCTATGCAGCAGCTACATTTTGCGACCACAACTAAGGATATAGCCCTAGGTGCTATGGCTGTGGGGAAAGTTCGATCCAGCTGCCGTAAACGAACTGTAAAAAGGGAAGGTGATCGATCTCAAGAGGGTAGTGCAGCTAACAGCACCGCCCAGCAGCAACTGGAAAACTACTTTGTGATCGAACATTGCAGCGAGAAATCTCATGGCAAAGCAGATACATTGCCAAGAAGACCTTGTCCTGAAAATGCAAGCATTGTACTAGAAAAGGTATCTATGAGGTATAACTGAAGGACAGTCTACAATATACACAGCAGGGAGATTGGGACATCAAACCGATTCTGGAATGGATGAAGGCTAGTGCTCCCAAGCCAAAGTGGTCGACATCTCAGCGATGAATTTGACCACAAAATCTATTGGGCCCAATGGGACAGCTTGCTGATTCAGAATGAAATTATGTGCCGTAAATGAGAAAATGGTTGAGAAAACAGCTGTCATTTGCAAATGGTTGTCCCCAAAACTAAAGTATAGGATGTACTACAGCTAAACTATAATGGTTGTTCAGAAGGCCATCTGGGATTTAAACGAACTCTACTGAAGATCTGAGAACGGTTTTACTGGGTCCACTGTCAAGACGACGTAGAAGACTAGCGTCGCAAATGTACAAGTTTTGCGGCTGTAAAGGGACCTCAGACTCGTAGTAGAGATGCATTGAAGTTGTACAATGTTGGTGCACCATGGGAGAGAATAGCTATTGACGTGGCGAGGCCGTTTCTGGAAAGTTAAAGTGGTAACAAGTATTTCATTGTTGTGACGGATTACTTCACTAAGTGCCCAGAAGTCTTCGCCATTCCAAAACAAGAAGTTTCAACAGTTGCAGATAGACTAGTTTATGAAGTCCTTTGTCGCTTTGGAGTAGAATTTTGAGTCTCAAATATTCCAGGAAGCTTGCATTATAATGGGTACTCATAAAACAAGAACGACTTCTTATAACCCGCAATCTGTTGGAATGATAGAACGATTTAATCAGACATTAGGGAGGTACCTAGCAAACGTTGTGGAAAATCGGCAGCGAGATTGGGACAAGTACATATAACCGTTTTTGTTGTAATATCGAAGCGCTTTTCACGAAAGTACATCAGTGACACCAGCTTTCGCAAACTCTGGAAGAGAATCACGGCTGCCTGCAGACCTGATCACCGGAACACCACCTGATACATAATTAGTTATGCAAATGACTTGCGGAACAAAATGAATGACATTTATGAGCACGTCAGGCAATCGGGCCAGCAAATGTCTGAAAAAATGAAAACCCGGTATGACCGCAAAATGAACAAAAAAGGGTTCAACGAAGGTTCACTAGTGTGTTTGCACAATC